AACAGGTCATCTATCCAAAACCCCAAAACCCCAAAACCCCAAAACCCCTCATCGAATCTAAAGAGTGTACCAGATAAAGTTTATGAAGTTATTAATGCAATATTTAAACTACTACAGCAATCTATTATCAATCCTAAACAAGTCCTTGAGCTTTTGGATAGATGACCTGTTTACTCTTTCTAATAATCTTATCAGCTGCCTATGAGCTGGTCATAGACTGAACCATTGATATTAGATCGCCAGTAACCATATCAGCCTTCTTCTTTTTAGCAGTGAGAGGTCTCTTAGCACTTTGCAGTCTCTTTTTCTTGTTCTTTTCTTTCTTTGCAGCTTGCTCTGGATCCTCTCTTACTGCTCCATCATCAGTGTATTTGAAGTAGACTGACTGCTTCTCTGGTGGAACGAATTGCAAGCCAACTTCTTCTTCCTCCTCATTTAGAATACTATTGATAGCCTAATTAACTCTCTTTGTTGCTGCTGCTTCGTAGTCCTCATCCTCACTTTCTTCTAGATTCAAAATATTTTCAAAGAGATTATTAGCAAAAGCATTATTGCCTTCCTTCTTTTTGGCCTTTTAGATCTTAATGTTGTTTCCAGTGAATTCAACATTTGGAATAATCCAATCATTAATATCCTCTGCCCATTCTGCTCTTCTCTCAATTCTCATGTACTCTTAAGCAGGTATAAACTGATCAATGATGAGATGCTTTTATCTGATTTCTCTAGTTAGTTCTCTGATACGATCCATGAGATCTTCTCGTTCTCTATGAATTTCATCCTGCAAGTCACCTATTTCGTTCTTTTTCATTTAAACCTTCTTCCAAATCTTATCTATTTCCTTCTTCTTACCTTCAAGTTCATCTTACTGACTCGAATACCTTTACTCTAGATTTATCTTTTCCTCTTCTTTTGATTTCAATTCCTGTTCTAATCTGACTTATAAAATTCTCTTTTCTTCTAGCTCAGCTTTACTTTTCAATAAATCTTGCTCTTGCTTCATGGCTTTCTCCATAGCCTCAGATCCATGCAAAAGTTTTTCTTCCATGTTCTTAATTCTTTTAAGTAGTTTTTGTTGTTTACTCTTCTCCTTATTAGCTTGATCTTCTCTTTGCTTTAACTCCTCTAAGAATTTACTCTTTTCTTCTTCCGCCATCTCCACTTATTGTTGAATTTTTCTACGCTCCTTTTCGAAATTCTTCTTAATGTTTAACTTTTCTTATTCAAGTGATTCCTCCATTTGCTTCATGCGTTCTTTGTTTTCAACATGAATGAATTTCTCTACTTCAATGATTTACTAACCATCAGGCCCCACAGTTGCACCATTAAGATTGTATTTTCCGCCAGAAAATTACTCAAGTTCTGCCTTCAATCTGGAAATTTCATCCTAGAATTCTCTGATCATTGTATCCTTAGGGTCCTCGTTAATCTTTGGTTTATTTTGAATGTTCTTAGCTCTAGAGGCATATCTAAGAGTTGAAAGAGTTTCATCAATGTTGTAGTCAGCTGGACCAATATTGGCAATCATGCAAGTTTTAGTATTACCTCCAAGAGAGTCTTGCAATAACCTAGTAAGCTTAGAATCTCTGTATGGAACAAATGTGCACTTGGGATCTGTCAAACTACTAATAACGTGGCAAAGAGTGGAAAGGGAAAGATTAATTTTGATACCCTCCTTTGCTCCTTCACCCTAAGCACCTGTTTTATCTAATCTCTCTGATCCAGCCAAATCTACGATGTTCAATTTACCAACCTTGATGTGACTTTTACCATCTGGCCCAATTTGAGATGATTCAATCGTTACAGTGAAAATACTATGACTGCGACCTATTTAAGAAAAATGTAAGAATCAAATTCATTTATATTAGAATTTACTAATATTTGTAGTTCTTATATGCTTTACTTACTTGATGTATCATTCATGTTAGTTGCTCTAACGTGTCTGTTGACTGTTCCTTCATTGAAAACTTCCATCATATCCTCTGGTGACTTAACTACAAAGGTCGAGAGGTCTTTGACATAAACTGTTCCATCCTTCTCTTTGAGTTCTAACTTATTCTATCCGTTCTTGGACAATAAATCTCTAATTTCTTCATTGTAGATCTCGAGATAAGATGCACGGACCAGATATTGACATTTAGTATCACACTCTATCGATTTGAAGACTGTGTCAAATGATCTAGGCATTATACCCTTGTGAGTAGGGTCCTTTGGCAAACCACTGATTGTATGGGTCTTACCAGTTCCTGTTTAACCATAAGCAAAAATGGTTCCATTGTATCCCTCAAGAACATTTTCAATAATAGGGTAGGCTATTTCATTGAAAATATTTTCTTAGATAGCGTATTGATCGTAGACTCTATCGAAAGTGAAAATCTTAGGAATTTCTTCAGAAGACTTTTGAATGATAACTTCTCCCTTGTTTATATCCATTCTCACAACCTACTCTCTTTGATCCTTAATCTCATTCTTTGACATAGGTCTACATCTGATTGCGACCTTAATGCACTCAGAATTATTACCACCTTATTTGGCTTTAGACATTTTTGAAGATACTTTCAAAAAATTCAAATTTTATATAATTTAATTATCATCTTTTTTTCTTCTATTATTCCATAATTCGACAATAATTCCACTTCGGGGTTTTGGGGTTTTGGGGTTTTGGGG